AAGCTGAGGCAATTATGAGCAAAAAGAACAAAGCTAGAGGTATTTGCTTCAGAGCTCTCTGAAGTTGACAAAGCTCAAAGTATCACACTACCTGATTTTAAACTGTACTACAAAGCTATACTAAGAGAAACAGCATGGAATTGACAAGAAAAAGATATATCAACAAATGGAATAGAATAGAGCCCAGAGATGAATCTAACTGATTTTCAACAAATATGCCAAGAAGACAGTTTTATTCAATAAATGGTATAGGGAAAACTGAATTTCTGCAAATAGGAAAATAAAATTGTATCCTTATTTCAACACCATATACCAAATTCAACTCAAGACGGATTAAAAACTTAAACATTCCTATATTAGTTTGCTCAGGAATATTGTGAAAGAAGAAGGAAAGAAAGAAAGAAAGAAAAAAGAAAGAAAGGACTGACTTAAACATAAAACCAAGAACCCTAAAACTGCTTGAAGAAAATATAGGGGATCAAAAAAAAAAATGAAAATGCTTAGGAACTGCTGTGTAATTAAGAAAGAAAGAAAGAAAATGCCTAAGAACTGATGTGTAATTAGAAAAAAAAAAGAATTGGATGTGAACTAAAAAACAATAAAAATAACATGAATAATAATAAAGAAAATGCTTAGGAACTGATGTGTAATTTAAAAAAAGAAAGAAAATGCTTAGGCACTGATGTGTAATGAAAAAAGAAGAAGAGAAAATATGTAGGATCAGATGATGACAGTCAGAGAGAAGAAAGAAAAAAAGAAAGAAAAAGAAAGAAAGAAAGAAAGAGAAAAGAAAAGAAAAGAGAAAGAAAGAGAAAGAAAGAAAAGGGGAAACATACAAGACATTGGTCTGGGTAATGATTTTTTGGATTTAATCCCAAAAACATGGACAACAAAATTAAATATAGGCAAATGGTATTACATCAAACTAAAAACTTCTGCACAGTTCATGATGTGTATCTAAAACAAACAAACTAAAAAGCTTCTGCACAGCAAAGGAAATAATCACCAGAGTAAAGAGACAACTTATGGAATGGGAGAAAATATTTGCAAGCCAGATATCTGATAAGGGGTTAATATCCAACATACATAAGAAGCTCAAAGAGCTCAAGAGCAACAAAACAAAACAAAAAAGCAATTAAGGCCTGCTTTCTGCTGAACAAGTCTTTCTTATCCCTCCCTAATAAGAAGGAAGAAAAAGGGCAATTAGAAAGTGGGTAACTCCTCGTTAGTATAGTGGTAAAATTTTAACATTAAAAAAGTTTTGGGGCTAGTTCGGTGGCTCACATCTGTCATCCCAGCACTTTTGAAGGCCAAGGTGGGCTGATCACCTGAGCTCAGGAGTTAGAGACCAGCCTGGGAAACATGGCAAACACTGTCTCTCAAAAAAAAAAAAAAAAAAAAAAAAAAAAAAATGTCCTTTGCAGGGACATGGGTGAAGCTGGAAACCATCATCCTCAGCAAACTAACACAAGAACAGAAAACCAAACACCACATGTTCTCATTCATAAGTGGGAGATGAACAATGAGAACACGTGGACACAGAGATGGGAACATCACATACCAGGGCCTGTGCAGGGTAGGGGAGGGACATAGAGGAAAGGGGAGGGAGAGCATTAGGACAAATATCTAATGCATTCAGGGCTTAAGCCCTAGATGACAGGTTGGTGCAGCAAACCACCATGGCACATGTATGCCTATGTAACAAACCCGCACCTTCCACACATGTATCTCAGAACTTAAAGTAAAATAAAAATTAAAATTAAANAAAAAAAAAAAAAAAAAAAAAAAGCTTTGAGTTGTAAAAATGGGTCAGATCAAAAGAAAAGAAAAAAAAAATGCATAAGGAACCAGAATAGACATTTCCAGTGATGTTTTTAAAGCCATAAACCCATTTTGGCGCAAAGACTTTATCATATGCAGTCATTTTTTTGTAAATTATTTCTTGTAAAGCCGTCATATACAAAAGAGTGATTTTCTTCACCTGAATATATGACAAAAAAAAAACAAACGCTGAAATCAATATATAAATCCAATAATCTGTACTGCCACTGTTAATCTAAAAGACATGGTTGCATAAAGAATAGCAAGAATTTAGACCAGCTTATTGACTTGGGAAAAGAAAAATAAGAAGAGCTTCAGAAGTAGGCTTTGCCTCTTAAAAAAATTAAAAACATTATCCTGAGAGTGACAGTGTGTTTAAAAAAAAAAAAAAAAAAGGATAAAAAAAATTAAAAACATAAGTCACTGTGTTGTGCTTGGGAGTTAGCAGCCAAAACAAACAAACTCAAAAGAAGTGGCCATCTGTGAAAGAAAAAGAAAAAATATAAAGACTTCGCATCCATTTAAGTATGCCGAAAAAGAAAACAATTTTTTAAAATAAAATAAAGTGGGTATAGTTGGGAGCTTAGCAATGGACATACAGAGTGGAGTAAGACACCAGAGGCTCCAAAAGGTGGGGGGATGGAGGCGGGGTAAGGAATGAAATCCTACCTATTGAGTACAATGTTCACTATCCTGGTGATGAGTATGCTATGCAATATACTTCACTGCTATGTAATATATCAAAGCAACAAAACTGCACTGTACTCCTAAATCTATAAAAATAAAAAATTATCTTGGCTGAGACCGCTTTAAAAAATAAAAAAATAAAAATTTAAAAAAGAGAGAGATGTTACTGGATGGCAAGTCACTAATAAAAAAAAGTAACCAGCCACTGACCTGGGTTAAAATAAAAAAGAAAAACTTAAGATGGATTAAAGAAATTAAAGTTAAATTTTAAAAAAAGAAAGATCTGCAGGAACTGGGTATGAAAAAAATAAAAAAAAATAAAAGAAAAAACTTGTAGGGATTTGCATTAGCATGGGTATAAAAAATTAAAAAAAAAAAAACAAAACGGGATTTCTGATGCCAGCAAACCATGAAATATGAGAGTATATTTAGCAATCATAGTGATTTAGCTCATGGTAATTGGCATATGTATAATTATAATTTGCATTCCAGTTATTTAAACTGAGATATTCTTGATCAGGTTGAACACATGGTGAGTAGAAGATCTCTTTCCCCAAGAAATAAGATGGAGAGAGTCTTTGGAGAACGGCCTCACTGAACTGGTAAGTCAACTTCCTCCGGATTTTGGTAATTTCCCCACTTCTTCCATAATTTCTCAGTGCCCTGGCCATTTTCTGGTAAGTCATGGTCTTCCGGTTGCCTTTTCTTTTTCCCCAAAGCTCGGCAAGTTTTTCTTTGTTTTTTGATACAAATTGAAAAATGCCTTTGGTTTTATCAACCCACTGAATACAAGATGCCATCTCGGGATTACATAGGGATTCGTGAAGGTATTCAAACAGTCGGAGCTTCTTCCTGCCTAAAAGGAAGGGAAGCAAGGTCAAACTCCACCGTGGATGTACACCGAGAACAGCTTCAGGAGGGATTTGCTGAGTAACTACCGAGCAGCATTGAGACTGGTTTTTCTCCTACTCACTGCCCTTACGAATGCATGATGGCATCATTTTATGGGACTCCAAGGTCAAAGATCTATTTGGTCTATTGAAGTTTCAACGGGATCTTTCTTTGTTGGAGGAGTTAAGAATGTTGTCCAGCCGGGCGAGGTGGCTCACGCCTGTAATCCCAGCACTTTGGGAGGCCGAGGTGGGTAGATCACTCGAGGTCAGGATTTCACCAGTCTGACTTGGTGAAGCCCCGTCTCTACTAAAAATACAAAAATTAGCCAGGCGTGGTGGCATGCGCCTGTCGTCCCAGCTACTCGGTACTCGGGAGACTGAGGCAGGAGAATCGCTTCAACCCGGGAGAATTGTTTGAGGTGGAGGTTGCAGTGAGCCGAGATCGCACCACTGCACTCTAGCCTGGGAAACAGAGGGGGACTCTGACTTAAAAAACTTTCTACAGAAAGAGAACACTGAGCAAAATGGACCATAAAGTTTAGCAGTTTTGACAGGAAGCCTCAAAAAGCCATTTCCAGAAAGCAAGCCATTTGAAGGGGCTTTATTCAAATGAATTAAGGGATGTAAATGCACTTTGTAAAATGCAAAATAGAATGCAAATATATTAGGGAAATTAATACCAAAGACCTAAGTAAAAATGCTAACTGTGTCTGCACAGTTACTTGAGAAATAAAAAAGAAGAAAAACTCAAATGGAAATGCCACAATCCCACTTTTATATCACTTTACTATTATTTATTTAACAATGAAATGGCCACTGTGATAGTTCTCATTGTTGTGAAATAAAACAGTACCACTAGAATTTTTATCTTTTTATGAACACAGCCATTTGTATTTCAAAATAACTAGGCAGGAAATTTTGAGAGAATCTGTGTGGTGTTTGCTCAGTTGATAGGATTTCTTTTGCCTAACAACAGCTCATGAGAACAAAAGTGACAGCCCATTTTGTGACTTGTGAGTTAGCCTGTAAATACTGTGCTCTGCCAGATCTGTCAGTAGCTACAAAATTTGCAGCCAAATTCCATTTTCCCTTGAGGAGGTACAATAGTGGATTCCCAAACTGCTTTAAATAGTCTCTGGGGAATAATACTCTTGAATGACGCATTTATCAGTCATCCAAAGACCTCAAAAATTTTTATAAAGATTATCTTTTGTATTATATTATCTTGAATTTATGAATTGAGAAATAAAAGGGACTTACCAAAATGCACATCATGAATTAAAGTCACAGCTTAAACAAAACTCTTCTGCCTCTCTGATTTTACAGACTTATGGGCAAATAAAAAGAAAAAAAAAATAAAAAAAACAAAACTCTTCTGCCTCTCATTCAGTGATCAAGTCGGTCTTAATGAATCATCTTTTAAAGTTTTCCATATTATTTTAATGTTTAAATTTTTATTCTTTAAAAGTAAGGTATTATATACTCATGGTGAAAGACGAAACCAAAGTACAAACTGAAAGTAAAAGTTTCCGTGTACTTTACATATTTCTGGAACAGGTTTTCTCTTAATTTTTACATGCACAAATACATGCATATCCTTTGAAATTACAAACAGGATTATACTCTTGTACTTTTTTCGGTATATAATATATCTTAAGTAAATTCTGGGCACAGTGGCTCACGCCTATAATCCCAGCACTTTGGCAGGCCAGGGTGGGCAGGTCACTTGAGGTCAGGAGACCAGCCTGGCCAATGTGGTGAAACTGTCTCTGCAAAAAATTAGCCAGGCATGGTGGTGAGTGCCTGTAATCCCAGCTACTTGGGAGGCTGAGGTGGAGGGATTGCTTGAGCCCAGGAGTTGGAAGCTGTAGTGAGCCGAGATCAAGCCACTGCACTCCGGCCTGGGCTACAGAGTGAGATTCCAAATAAAAAAAATTATTAATAAATAAATAAATAAAATATATAGCCGAGGGAGTCTCTCTGAACCTATTCTGGTTCAGGGAGCCTACCTGATTCACTTAAAAAACAAAAATTATAGGCCAGGCACAGTGGCTCACGCCTGTAATCCCAGCACTTTGGGAGGCTGAGGCAGGCGAATCACTTGAGGCCAGGAGTTCGAGATCAGCCTGGCCAACATGGTAAAACCCTGTCTTTACCAAAAAGCATAAAAAATTAGTTGAGTGTGGTGGTGGCGCCTGTATTCCCAGTTACCCTGGAGGCTGAGGCAGGAGAATTTCTTGAACCCAGGAGGTGAAGATTGCAGTGAGCCAAGATCATGCCACTGCACTCCAGCCTGGGCGAAAGAGTGAGACTTGGTCTCAAATAATAATAATAATAATAATAATAATAATAATATAGGGGCTGGGCACCCTGGCTCACACGTGTAATCCTAACACTTTGGGAGGCCCAGGTGGGTGGATCACCTGAGGTCAGAAGTTTGGGATCAGCCTGGCCAACATAGTGAAACCTTGTCTCTACTAAAAATGCAAAAATTAACCAGGTGTGGTGGGTGGTGAAACTTGCAGTACCAGCTACTCAGGAGGCTGAGGCCAGACAATCACTTGAACCTGGGAGTTGCAGGTTGCCAAGATCACACCACTGCACTCTAGCCTGGGTGACAGAGTAAGACTCTGTCTCAAAAAAACTTAAAAATAAACAAATAAATATATAAATGAAAATACATAAGATATATTGATGAGGGAATGTCTCTGAACCTATTTTAGTTCAGAGGGCTGCCTGATTCACATTTTTAAAAATTATATGGCTGGGTGTGGTGGCTCATGTCTGTAATCCCAGCACTTTGGGAGGCCTAGAAGATCACACCACTGCATTTCAGCCTGGGCGACAAGAATGAAACTCCATCTCAAAAAAAAAAAAAAAAACATTATAGGTGGCAAGCAGTTTCATAAGATGACAGTGGAGCTGAAAAATTCCTATCACCTAGTTCTACTATATATACTTTTTATCATTATTTTGGACTGTACTTCTTCTACTTAATTTTCTTTTAAAGTTTACTACAAAGCAATCAACAAATAGCAAAAAAAAAAACTAAAAAATAAAAAGTTAACTGTGCAACAGCCTGAGGCAGCCTCTTCAGCAGGTATTCCAGAAGGCGCTGTTATCACAGGAGACGACAGCTCCACGTGTTATTGTCCCTGAAGACCTTCCAGTGGGACAAGATGTGGAGGTGGAAGACAGTGATAGTGATGATCCTGACGCTGTCACTCCTGGGCTAATGTGTGTTTGTGTCTCTGTTTTTAACAATATAAGTTTAAAAAGTAAAAATAAAAATAATTAAAAATAGAAGACTGGGTGTGGTGGCTCACACCTATAATCCCATCACTTTGGATGGCTTGAATCCAGGAGTTTCCTACCCAGCCTGGGCGACAGAAGGAGACTCTATCTCTAAATAAATAAATAAATAAATAAATAAATAAATAAATAAATAAATGGAAGTCTCACCCAAGATGAATGACTTGGAGCAGTTCAATAAGTCAGAGTTAAATTACTTTCAATTGTGATAAGAGAATATTTTGCAAATACAATTCCAAACTCAGATATAAAATCCCTTTAAAGCTGCTAAGAACAT